AATTAATTTTAATTTCATTTTTTTGCTCCAATTTGTCATTAGGTGGCAACGAGAAAGAATTAATTAAATTTGATGAATTTTCTCCGGTCGAAATTACCGCCGCTAAAAAAAAAAAAAAATTCAGTCAAATATTACAAGTTAATTTTGCTCTTGGAGCGAGAAATTTTGACAGATTCAGATATTTATCCCTTTCAGTTGCTAAGATGGACTCTCTACGTATTCTTCTTTCTTTGGCCGCTAATTTGAATTGGCCCTTACATCAGCTGGATGTAAAGAATGCTTTCCTTCATGGTGACTTGGAGGAAGAGATGTATTGTAATACTCCTAATTTTAAAAGGACAGTCTCAGCATTTTAAAATTTTGTTTTATTGCATTTTTGTTTGTTGATTTGATTATTTACCTAATTGTTTGATTGTCTGATTTAATTATATGTTTAATTCCATTATATGCTTAGTTGGAATTTCTTTATATGTTTAAATTCTTTTATTTTGCTAATTGAATTATTATATGCTTATGTAGCATTTTTTTTAAATACCTGTTTATGGTGTTTAAATATTTAAATTCGTGTAATTAGTTTTTATATGTTAATTATAATTTAGGATTTTGTTTTTATTTATGAAATCATGGGATTTAGTTTAGCCGACTTATAATTAGTGGGGAATTAGAATTAAGTTTTCATTGAGGCCTATATATATAAAAGTTATGGGTCTGCAAGGGTTTTAGAACCCTTTTCCCGTAACTAAGGAGGCAGAGAGAGAGAACAGAGAGAGACTTGAGAGAAACAAAGAGAGGCTCAAGGAGGAAGGAAGGGATTGTTTCTAAGTTGAACCAAGAGCAACAGAGGGGTTGAACGGCAGTCTAGGAAGTTGTCGGAAACTCAGAAACCGAAGGCAAGTCTCTGTTCTAACTCTTTCCCCTAAACCTGTATTCCGTGCATGCCTAGGTAGACTCCAGGGGTTTAATTAATGCTAAAACAAATCTTTTATGCATGTTTATACTATATTTAATCTCGTTGAATTAAACTGGTTTGTAAATTCTTAAAGTTCTGTTAACTGGTTCCTGCTATCTTTGCAATTGAGCTTTGTTTAATTGCGATCGTTGATGTATACCGATGTCTTATAAATAATTTGGGACGTTGAATGAACACTAGAACAAGTATTAAAAGAATTTTAGAGCCCTGGGTATCGTCGGAGGCGAGGAAGACAAAGCTGAAAAGGCTAACGGCTTCAGGGAGTGAAAGAGCAGGTTCCCAAAAGAAGGGAGCCAGTTCCCTCATTAATGGAGCCGGCTCCTAGCTCCACAGAGCAGGCTCCCAAGAGTAAGGAGCCGGCTCCCATGTTAATGGAGCAGGTTCTCAATTTGTGAGAGCCTGCTCTCGCCCAGAAACGCATACACAGCTGTTTAGGGGGCTATTTGGGCTGTCCGGAGTATTTTTAATTGTACTGAAGGATGTAATTAACTGTGATGGACCTATGAAAATATTAAGAAGTATTATCACATTAGTGTATTAAAAAATGAAGCAACACAAAGATAAAGAAAAGTCTACATGTTGAGTACTGTCTTGTTAAGTTATTTGTTTAATGAAACTTAACGAATATTTTGCATATGATTTAATAATATTTAATCATATTTCAACAGGGTTATAAGGGTAATGGAATACTGGTAATTAACTACGCTTGAATTGGATTGAATTGATATTTAATTTGTTATAAACGGTATTAATTTCTGGACTGTTTGGATGATTTAAATTGCTTACTACAATTATAACAATTTGTGTATGTATGATTAAACAGTATTAATCATGTTTAAGCACTAAAATAAGCATAATTGACTAACTGAAACTGTAGTATGCTTATATGGAATTAATTGATATTTTAACGGTTTAGATTGCATCAATTGTTGGATTTATGAATTGTTATGAAATTTACGTTTAAGAATTTCACCATAATGTGTTTAGTATATTGTTCTGAATTATAATTGATGAACTACTTGTACTGTTTTGTCAATTGTTGGATTGGTTGTGTGTGTATGTACCGGTATGGGACGGAGGCATACTAATGACGGATTAGTTTAAAACACTAAATCTTACCTAATCTGGAATACGTTGGATTAACTATAAAAGTTAAGTCCTACTTATATATATGTATATGCACCGGTATGGAACGGTGGCATATTAGGGATAGTTCAAAGCACTAAGGCCTACCTATTCTAGGGACGGATTAATTCAAAACACTAAGTCCTACCTATTCAGAAATAAGATGAATTAACTACAAAAGTTAAGTCCTACTTATAACTGTGTGTCAGGTCAATAAACCTTTTAAATGACATACCTTGAACAGATTATATATATATATATATATATATATATATATATATATATATATATATATATATATATATATGGTACCGTGATATGAGCTTGTGTGATGTTTCCAATTTTCAACAGTTTCGTTTTTCCGGAATTTCGTTGATGAGGGGGCAATTTAGTCTTTTCACGTTTTGCGTACGGAATTTTAGTTAGATCCATTTGCATTATAATTTTTATGTATTGATTGCATGTTAATTTGTGCATTTTATGTGTGTGGGGTATAATGGAGACAAAAGAAAAAGAGAAAGAAAAGAAAATAAGCGGGACCCGCCACTAGACCACTTAAGGACTTGAGCCCACATTTTGGTCTCTAAAATCTCTCTCTCCCGCAACCCTCTCTTCCTCTCTTCTCTTCTTCATTTTTCTTTTTCATTGGCGGGTGTCAATCCCCCACAAAATTGACGAAGTATTAGAAGCCGTTCATTTTGTTATTTTGTATCTAGGTCACTCAATTGTATCCCTAGTGGATGGAAATGTAATTAAGCCATTGCATATGGCCTAGTGATCTAACCATGAACCATAGCTCTATTTTGATGCAAAATTATTCAAGGTGTAAAAACCATGATTGTAGAAAACCTCATTCTTTGTTGTATGGGACAAGTTTGGAGTATTTGCAAGGTTTCCATTACAGTTTCTTCTCTTTTTCAAAGTGTCGTATCTCAACATCAGGTTCCAGGCTCGACAGAGCCATTTCGGTCGACCGAAATAGGGTTCGGTCGGCCGAACCATTCACTAGCTCTCAGGATCTCACCTTTCGGTCAACCGATGGAGGATTTCAGTCGACCGGTTCTTGAGGGTCTACTTCGGCCAACCAAAACTCCACTTCGGCTGACCGAAGTGCACCTGTTTTGGTTGTTTTGCTCTTCCTTCTTGTTATTCTACTCTCGACTCTTGGGGATTTGTTTTGAGCCCTTATGAAAACTTAATGATGACCCAAAAGGTGACGTCTGACGCTAGAAATGATGAGTTTGACGTAGATAACCTTGGGTTCGAGTAAAGACCCGGCTAACGGTTTGGGCCTCCGGGTTCGGGTCGTTATAGCTTGAGTCTCAGGATCATGATTAGGTGTGTATATCGCCTAGGATGGATTACTGGACATACTTGTTGTTCCCTGGTAGGTCTAAGTATACATGCCCACGTGATGTGCGATTTACATGTTACCTTCTATTCAGGCTGAGACAGAACTATTGGACTTGCGAGCGTCCTATAGTGTGTATATATTTACATATATGGACTACTTTAGTTATTGTTGAGCTATCTAGGATGTATTTACGTATCGAGTTTCTGTATGAATCATAGTAGGATAGGATTTGCATGTGGGCCTTAACCCACTTCCATATTTTTCAGGTGTTCGTCACTTCCAGGGTTAGAGCTTGATCGTGCAGAACAGATACAGTCACTCACTCCTCCGACTATGTAGGACTGCTTTCTATGTTTAGCTTTAGATTTTTATTACAATTATTTCCTTTTCAATTTGGGATTTGGATAAGGGTCCACTAGATGGATTCCCGAATTGTACAGATATAAGAAAGTTTCGAATTTATATTAATTTATAAATTTTAAGGATTATATTTTAGAATTCTCTTCAGCTTATTATTTATTTCTTTAATTCGTTCTGTATTTTACAAATGTGCGTCACATTTGTTGGCTAAAGTAGGCAAGCTTAGAGCTAGACCTATTGATATTCCCATTAATCAGAACCATAGGCTTATAACGTAGATGATGTGGGAAGATTTCAGTGATAGGTTGGGAGACTGATATACGATCTCTCACGCGCCTAAATATTGCCTACGCTGTTAGTGTGATTAGTCAGCTTACGCATGCTGAATGTACACCTCACCTTAAGGCAGGTCATCATGTTCTTCGCTACCTCAAGGGTTCACCTGGTAAAGGGATATTGTTTGGCAGTCATGGCCACTTGCGTGTTGAAGCCTACACTGATGCTGATTGGGTAGGGTCTGTGATATATTGATGATCTACTTCAGGATATTGCATATTTGTTAGAGGTAATCTTGTTTCATGACGAAACAAGAAACAGTCTATAGAGGCTGAGTTCAGATCCATGGCACATGGACTTTGTTAGTTGTTATGGCTACGTACGATGTTGGGTGAGTTGAATTATCCAATTCGCGAGTCAATGAAGTTGTATTGTGACAAGGCTGCTATTAGCATTGCCCACAATCCAGTTCAACATGTCAGGATAAAGCACACTAAATCGATCGACACTTCATCAAGGAAAAGCTTCGTCTTGAGCTAATTTGTACCCCATACGTCAATACACTTGATCAGGTTGCTGATGTTTTGACTAAAGGTGTGAGCAAGACTTACAAAATATGTTAGTCAAGCTGGGCATAATAGATATCTTTGCACCAGTGAGAGGGAGTGTTCTCAGGAACTTAATTGTTATTACTTATATACTGCTAGACCTTATGAATGTGGTGAAAGAATGTAACTATTTTTTTCATTTTTTCTCTCTTTCCCCATCTCTCTCTCTCTCTCTCGTCCACTTTCTTCTCTTCTTCTTAAAATCAACATAATAAGGTATATTTTGGGATATATGGAACTATGGTATGACAACCTTAATTATTTTATGTGTAGATTGAATAACTAAAGTTGTCATACCATAGTCCCATATATCCCAAAATATACCTTATTATAATACACAACAAATAAACACAATGTACTAGAACTTCAATTTAATACCTCATTCAATATATAATAGTAATATTCATCCATAACATCATATAAAAATAATGAGTTATTTATTTATTGGGTTTACTGTTACTTGGGTTTTAATTTGTTAGGTGTTTGGACAACTTCATATTGTGTTACAATATTAAGAAAATGAACTTGGATACTCTTCTATTGAATTAAACAACTCAAACAGAGAGAAAAAAACAAATGTCTACTACAGCCATAATAAGGTGTTGTATGATTCCTAAGTCCACAACCAATCAGTGAGAAAGTAGGATACTAAACACTAAACATGCAGCCACCTATCGTTTAACAATAGCATAGTACTTCATGCCAAACCGTTAGGACCTAAGGTAATTGTGTTTGTCAATTTCAATGATCAGTGTATGTGCTGTGACCGGTCAAGTTAGTGAGTCAAATTGATATGTCCACTAATTTGTGATTGAATACGTATTTTATGGTCATGATTGCAGACCGCATGACGATTGCAAGGTGACCTGATTTTTTTTTCCCCAAGGTGACCAGAACTTAACAATCTTGATCGACTTGATTCACACATGCCACGGAAGGGTAAGTTTGACTTTGTAAACCTAAGACTAAACTAGAAAAACTAAATTTGGTTGACCTTTATGACACTATACCGCATTTAAGATCAGTTCTAAAGTGAACTTATTCATTTTAAATACAAAAACGTGTCTCATTCGAAAAACAATGCTTTAGAACTTGTCTCAAAGGGCTTACAAATGAACCTAGACCTAACCTTGGCTGGAAAATTATAAATATTATAATGAGTTTTCATTTTTTTAACGCTAAATATACTATAAAATAATTCAATTTTTGCAATAGTGGGAGCATTTTGTCATTTATGCTATACAATTTTCTTGCATTACCATACGCTACTAGGCACAAATTTTTATCATGGACGCACTCTCCCCCTTCTGTACCTTAACAAATACAGTTGCATCAGCTATAAAATTAAGTGAGCCACCTCATCTTAGTTTAACATGCTTTCTCTCTCTCTCTCTCTTCGGTCCTTTAAAATCTTGTGGCTTAAACACAAAGAAATATGGAACGGCAACATATTCTGCTTGTTTTGTTGCAAAACAATATCTTGCCCATGTTGTTTGCCTCACTGTAGTAAGAATATGATTGCACAATAATTACACGGGTCTGCATGCAAATATCCACATCAAGGGTAATCCATGACACAACAACAACAATTGATCAATCTAGACGCACACATATACTCAAGAGCTACAAGAAGTACACTAAGGGACTCAACAAGTATGAAAATAAACTTACTGAGCACTGTACTTCTTTATTGGAAAGTTGGCTATGACAAAAGACTCCAGGCAATGTAACCCCCCGTTCCAGCTGTAACATAGGATAGTAAACAATCATTTAGCCCCGCATGGTCGTAAGTGACGGATGAGGACAAATCCAATGCTATAAAAGGTGAGAGGAAATAAAAAATAAATAAATTATAGCATTACTTTAATATATTTTATATTTTTATTCTAAACCACAAATATATATAAAAGGGTTTGCCTGTATAATAAGTTTCCATATTAAAAAAAAAAAAAAAAGTCAAACTACCGGCCTTTTGGGAAGTGTTGTCTGCTGTAATGTAATGTAATGCTCTAATCTAATCTAAAACAGAACAAGTGTTTTGTAATGTAATGTTCTGAAAATGAAAACAAAACATATTCGGCGACGAAAATTTGCAGTAAGAATTTGAAACAGAAACATGGTAGAACATGTTTGGCAAAATATTTCGTTTCAAGAAATAAGAATTGTCACCAAACAAATTTAAAATTACTACTATATTTATAAAATTTGAAAAATAATGAACTTACATTCTTAAAAATTCATATTTTTTATTTTTTGTGCTGAATTTTTATTTTCAACTTACATTCTTAAAAATTCATATTATGATTAATATTTTTCATATTTTTTTTATTTTTTAAGCTCATCATATTTTTTTATTTTTAAAGCTCAATTGAAGAAAGAGTAATTTTGAAAAATTCATATTAACACAAACAAAAACAATCAAATGCTCGTTTCAGACTCTGCCCTCTTGAGACCAATTTGTTAAAAGATGGAGGGGTGGAGAGCCGTGTCGATGTGCCAGCGCCAAAAAGAACAAATTTACATAGTAGGGCTTGATCTCTTTTGGTATTTGGTCTTAGAAAAGATGGCGAGGCAGCCAGAGATATGGGAATTGGAGACGAAAAAGATTGAGGGACTAAATGTTGTGACAAAACTGTAAGGATCAAAGGTAAACAAAACTAAGAAGGCAAAGATGAGATACAAAATGTCTACCTAGAGAGAATAGGAGGAGGAATAGAAATAGTCAAATAAGATCAGAGAGCCAAAAGGGTCCTTTTCGTAGATCACATTGACAAGTAATGAAACACAAACATATATATTATATATAATATATGCAACGGGAATAAAACGAGGCTCATACAAATCAATGCAAATCCTCAACAGATCATAGTCAAATACAGACAAATTTGGGGAGAATCTGGGACATACCCCGAGAGAGATGAGGAAATATAGAAGTTTGGCTTGAGAAGAATCTGGACAGAGAGGTGGAGAGAGAAACAATGAAGAGAGAGCTGGCCGGAGTTTCCAAAACGCCGATTTGAAGCGTCGTCACAAATGAAGCACAAGATCGCCTCTGCAATCGCCTACCGAAATTATATTACATACACGAGTTTCAAAATTATTAAAGCATTTGTCAACATGCACAATAAAAGCTCATGAAATAAAATTAAACTAATACATTACATCATTTATCAACAACAACAACATGAGCAATAATAATATAAAGAATATAATTATAGTAAGACAACAACAACAACCACAACCATAGATAATATAGTTTTGTCGATTTTTTTGAGCTTGCATAACAGCAACTACATCCTCCAACTCTTCCTCCACATAACCACCCACTTGCATACGTCGGTGCATGTCATTCAACTATATAAATGCACGAGCATGTGACTAAACTAGAACAAAGACTTGTATATTATTATAATGCACCTGTGACACTAAGATGTTGTTAAAAAAAATTATTAATTCAAAGAAAATTGTATACCTCTCAAGCTGGACATCTATAGAATGAACGTCCATAATTCTTTGAAGTTCCAGCCGTATAAAGATTCATTCGACCCCCCCTTCCACATGCACAATGTGGCCCGTCACCCTATATCTTATACATGTTATACATGACTGACTACATATACAAGTCATTAAACTGATCCAAAAAAGTTATAAATAAAAATAAAATAAAATAAGAAAAAAAAAAAAAGAATCATATAGTTACCACAACTTTTACATTTATCAAAATCGTAAATTAATGTTAAAATAAAGTAAATCCTATTTCAAGAGTGCTAACTTGCATTCCATATAGTATCAGCAATATGATCGCGTACAATATCCATTGGCCGCGAGCGAGACTGCGACGCATTAGGCTGAACATCAACATCATCTCAAAAAAATTCATCTATCATCGCTTTGACAGTTGCATCATTAAATATTGGATCTACATGCGCCTCCTTTCTTATAAAGTTATGAAGTGTGCAGCCGGCTAAAACAATAGCAACTTGATCTTCAAACCTATATGGGGGCATTTGCTTCAAGATGGGGAATCTCATCTTAAGCATCCCAAAACAACGCTCAATTATATTTCGCAATGACGAGTGTCTGTGATTGTATATTTCCTCTCTACCTTGGGGTTGTCGATAAGCTCTACGATACTCTTGGAAGTGGTACCGTTGGCCCCTGTATGGAGCCAAGAAACCCGGTTGATTGGCATACCTGGAGCCCACCAAATAATATTTCCCTGCCAACCATGATATTTTAAATAAATATTGCAAAATTATAGCAATTATGACATTTACCGTCTGGAGGCATTGGGAAATGCAAATCCTCGTTATTAATGGTCTCGTTCAATATTTAAGAATCATTAGCAGATCCCTCCTATCCTGCTACGACGTACGTAAACATCATATCAAAATCACAAACAGCCATTACATTTTGTGTGGTATCCCCCTTCCTACCACGAAATGGTATTTACTGGTCCACAAGCACGTTCGCATAGACATTAGTTCCATCAATTGCCCATACACAATTCTTAAAAAAAAGGTGATACTTTTTTGACTTCTTTATATGGTTAGGAACTTGGCTTAAATCTGGGGGGAACAATAATCTGTTTCCCTAAATCACAGACTTTTTGTAAAACCGCATGGAAGTATTTTGAAATTGTATATGTAGAGTGTTGAAATATTTCTGCGACCACACGATTCCTTTCATTATGAGGTAAAGTAAGCAAGAATATGCCAACTTGTTCATAAACACTTACACTTGTAGAGTTTTTCAACCCTGATGACTTGTAAGCTAAATTTTCAAAACATCTACTTCCAAGCCCATGCAAGATCTCCATTATTATATACTTCCCCGGTTAAAAGAGAATCCCTACAAGGTTGTTTATCGTAATACTTCATATAATACTCTAACATGCATGCCATTATGATGACACTATCATTCTCCTCATCACCATAATCATACAACTCAATTATTGTCCTAATATCCATCTGTATAATACAAAATTTAATAAATGAGATAAATTACAATCATCCCAAACAAAATACCAAATAATAAATAACAAAAGACAACAAATAAAATCAAAGCAAGCCAAACAGTTATATCGTCATTACAATCAAACCAAATGACATAAATACGGGTGTACTTAATATTCCATCAACCAAAGTTATAACAAAACCAACTTGTTCATAAAAGCGACACACCAAATAAAGTATACTTAATAGTACAATCATCCAAAGTTATAATAAAAGCAACATACCAAATCAAATTTCATTGATCCAACCCTCTTACCATCAGAAAGGTCATTAAGAAAGAAATCCCTCCAAACTTCATCATTACATAACATCTGGGTGACCTTAGCATATTGTTTCATATTAACGCCCTCCAACTTATTCAAAATATAACATAACTTAAAATCACCTTTTGACTTGTCCGGAGAATTGACTTCAACCTCCACAATTGCTTCATGGACTGTTTTCATATTAGATGATGAAAAAGCGACTATGGCCCTTTCAATTCGATCTGTTTTCTCTCTATAAGTCTCTCTCATTTCACGCATGACATCGCTCATTGTGGAGGCAAAACTCTCTCTTTGGTTTCTTACCACGAGGTTCAAGAGAAGGACTGAACTCATAACCGCCTAACTCAGCAAAATCATCATTAAGGTCAAATGAGGTATGTATGCCTGCATGGTGTGCGGGGGCTTGGTTGATAATGGGTTGACTGTAGGAAGTATGGACATGTGCACCTGTAGCGTGTGCGCCTCAAAATATGGTGGTGATACTTACCATAATGGGTAGTCACTTACGAATTATTAAATTACTATTAATATTAAGTATACCTTTTTACAAAATCAACATCCATTTATATTTGAATAACCAACCTTGATCAATCTAGTCCATCTTTCTTTTTCAACTATAACGAGATTTAGTGAATAACTTAGTTACCTTCTAAAGATTTTTTACGAACTCCAAAATGATAAAAACTCGCTTGGTGTCGACGATGAACGTAATAGACTGAGAATCGCCTGTGAATCCGCGAGTGCAGAGAGCAGCGGCGAAGCTTTGGTTCGCCGGAAAACGCAGAGGTGAGACAGAGGGAGTTTCTCTTCAGATCTGCACATAGACTGGTCGATTTGAAGCCCGATCTTCAAACAACATTTAGCAATTTTAGACAGAGCACAACGAATTCTGATGAAGAAGCAGCAGAGGAACTCACCGGTGAGAAGAAGATAACTATCGGAAAGCTTCAGATCAATTAAAATGGTGTTGATTTCAACCCCACTTTTGTGACAAGTATAGCACCGTGAATCGCCTCTGAATCGCCTTGCTTGTTGAACCATAGAACATGTTTTGCGATTCTCTTTATACATGTTCTCAAAATGGAACAAGTTCGGGCTGTTGTTCCACCCACTACAGTAATTAGTGGGCCGACCAAATTTTGGGAACAAGGCAGAACACAAATTTTTTGTTCCAACTTTTGGGCCATTCTTCTAAAATGTTCCACCATTGTTGAAAACACTACAGGCCATGCCAAACATGTTTTGGGCCAGAATAGTGGTACTGTAGCATTTTGGGAACATGGTAGAACAAACACCAAACAATTATTAATAGTAATTTAATAATTTGTAGGTGACTGCCCATTATGGTAAGTATCGAAAGAAGCCATGCAATCATTTTGACAAACTCGCCACCATATTTTGAGGCACACACGCTACAAGTGCACATGTCCATACTTCCTACAGTCCACCCATTATCAACCAAGCCCCCGCACACCATGCAGGCATACATACCTCATTTAACATTAATGATGATTTTGCTGAGTTAGGCAGTCATGAGTTCAGTCCTTCTCCTGAACCTCGTGGTAAGAAACCAAAGAAAGAGTTTTGCCTCCACAATAAGCGACGTCATGCGTGAAATGAGAGAGACTTATAGAGAGAAAACAGATCGAATTGAAAGGGCCATAGTCGCTTTTTCATCATCTAATATGAAAACAGTCCACGAAGCAACTGTGGAGGTTGAAGTCAATTCTCCGGGCAATTCAAAAGGTGATTTTAAGTTATGTTGTTATATTTTGAATAAATTGGAGGGCGTTGATATGAAACAATATGCTAAGGTTACCCAGATGTTACGTAATGATAAAGTTTGGAGGGATTTCTTTCTTAATGACCTTCCTGATGATAAGAGGGTCGGTTGGATCAATGGAATTTGATTTGGTATGTTGCTTTTATTAAGACTTTGGATGACTGTACTAATAAGTATACTTTATTTGGTGTGTCGCTTTTATAAACAAGTTGGTTTTGTTATGACTTTAGTTGATTGGAATATTAAGCACACTCGTATTTATGTTATTTGGTTTGATTGTAATGACAATATAACTATTTGGCTTGCTTTGATTTTATTTGTTGTCTTTTATTATTTATTATTTGGTATTTCGCTTGGGATGATTGTAATTTATCTCATATGTTAAATTTTATATTATACAGATAGATATTAGGACAATAATTGAGTTGTATGATGAGGAGAATGATAGTGTCATCATAATGGCATGCATGTTGGAGAATTATATGAAATATTACGATAAACAACCTTGTAGGGATTCTCTTTTAACTGGGGAAGTGTATATAATAATGGAAATCTTGCATGGGTATGGAAGTAGATGTTTTAAAAATTTAGCTTAAGTCATTAGGGTTGAAAGACTCTATAGGTGTAAGTATTTATGAACAAGTTAGCATATTCTTGCTTACTTTAGCTCATATTGAAAGGAATCGTGTGGTCGCAGAAAGATTTCAACACTCTACCTATGCAATTTCAAAATACTTCCATGCGGTTTTACAAAAAGTCTGTGATTTAGGGAAACAAATTATTGTCCCCCCAAATTTAAGCCAAGATCCTAACCATATGAAGAAGTCAAAAAAGTACACCCTTTTTTTAAGAATTGTGTAAGGGCAATTGATGGAACTCATGTCCATGCGAATGTGCCTGTGGACCAGCAAATACCATTTCATGATAAGAAGGAAAGGGATACCACACAAAATGTAATGGTTGTTTGTGATTTTGATATGATGTTCACGTACGTCGTAGCAGGATGGGAGGGATCTGCTAATGATTTTAAGATATTAAACGAGACCACTAATAACGAGGATTTGCATTTCCCAATGCCTCCAGACGGTAAATGTCATACTTGCTATAATTTTGCAATATTTATTTAAAATATCATGGTTGGCAGGGAAATATTATTTGGTGGACTCCGGGTATGCCAATCAATCGGATTTCTTGGTTCCCTACAAGGACCACCGGTACCACTTCCAAGAGTATCGTAGAGCTTATCAGTAACCCCAAGGTAGAGAGGAAACATAGAGTCACAGGCACTCGTCATTGCGAAATATAATTGAGCGTTGTTTTGAGATGCTTCAGATGAGATTCTCCATCTTGAAGCAAATGCCCCCATATAGGTTTGAAGCTCAAGTTGCTATTGTTTTAACCTGCTGCACACTTCATAACTTCATAAGAAAGGAGGCGCATGTAGATCCAATATTTAATGATGCAACTGTGGAGTCAATGATAGATGAAATTTTTGGAGATGATGATGTTGATGTTCAGCCTAATGCGTCGCAGTCTCGTTCCCGACCAATGGATATTGTACGCGATCATATTGCTGATACTATATGGAATGCAAGTCAACACCCTTGAAATAGGATTTACATGTTTATCATGTTTGGATAACTGTTAGAACTACTTTATACTTGTTCCATTTGTTTGTATTTGAATAACGGTAACAACTACTTTATTTTAACTATTTGTTAGGATTTGGATGACTGTAATAACTACTTTATTTTAACATTAATTTACGATTTCGATAAATGAAAAAGTTGTGATAACTATATGATTCTCTTTTTTTCTTTTTTTTAAAAACTTTTTTGGATCAGTTTAATAACTTATATATACAGTCATGTATAAGATACAGGGTGACGGGCCACCTTGTGCATGTGGAAGGAGTCGAATGAATCTTTATACGGCTGGAACTTCAAAGAATTATGGACATTCATTCTATAGATGTCCAACTTGGGAGGTATACAATTTTCTTTAAATTAATAATTTTTTAACTACATCTTAGTGTCACAGGTGCATTCTAATAATATACAAGTCTTTGTTCTAATTTAGTCACATGTTCGTGCATTTATATGGTTGGATGACATGCACCAACGTCTGCAAGTGAGTGGTCATGTGGAGGAAGAGTTGGTAGGATGTAGTTGCTGTTATGCAAGCTCAACAAAATCGACAAAACTACATCATCCATGGTGGTTTTTGTTGTCTTACTATAACTATATTCTTTATGTTATTGCTCATGTTGTTGTTGATTATTGTGGCGGTTGATAAATGATGTAATATATTAGTTTAATTTTATTTCATAAACTTTTATTGTACATGTTGACAAATGTTGTAATAATTTTTGAAACTCATGTATGTAATATATTAAAATTTATAAAATGTATAATATGTTGAAACTTTATTTAAGTTCCATATTAAAACAATGTAGTCCACAACTGTCAAAGTAATATGCAACATTAATAGGTTTTACAATTTAGAATTTATTTTATTGGTTTTTATAATAAACTTTTAACCATATATATATATATATATATATATATATATATTAAAAGTTATACCAATTGTATATTAAAATTATATTGTAATTAATTTTAACTTTATATTTAATAAAGTAATAAAAAATATAATGATGAAAACATTATTTAAAAACATTATTTACCAAACAACCCAACCCTTTTTTTGGTTACACTTTCAATGTGCCAAACATGTTTTGTTCTCATATTTTTTTGGAACAAAATACATTGCCAAACATGTTGTAACATGTTTATGTTCCAAAATTCTAAGCACAAATTTGTTCTCATTTCAGTACACTACGTCACAAAACACTTTCTATTCTAGGCTAGAGCATTGCACTACACCACACAACACTTCCCAAACGGGCCTTTACTAATGATAGCATAAAACCAGAATATTAATATGTAATAACAATATACTAACTATAAAGCATAAACAAAAACAATGCCACAAACACAGTATATACGGTGACAAATTGATATAGCAGCATATCTTACAGTCCTTTGACAAACATAATCAATCTCAGTGAACAATATTTAGCTTTTATTCTCAAAATTATGTAAAAAATGTTTCCAATTTTATTTATTTTATTTCTTTTTTTGTCAAAATTCTTATTTCTAACAATACAATCCGACAGACTGAAACACGTATTTGGTTAACATTTCTGCCCAATAACAAAAGTAAATTGTAAAAAGGCAATATCAAAATTTTAGTTATAAATTTCTAAAGTATTCTTCGAAAATTAAAATTGTCAATTTTCATGCAAGTATCTTTCAGTTTTTTTAAAAGTATTGTCTGTTCACATATTTTGTAGATATTCTTTTCAGAACCAAACATGCCTTTAAGTTCTAAAATCAGTGAGGTTAAGACAGAAAGAAAGAACAGCTACCCTTGTAAAATTATAGAGCTTACATGACTGGCCTCTGAGAAATTTGGAGTGAGAGAGTGATTCGAGTAGAAACCCAGTTGTGGGAATCAGAGCTCGTGGGTCGCCGAAGAGTCCTTTGGCATTGGGTGGTCCTTTACCGTTCGTCTTCAAGCTCGCGAACTGTCCAGCAACTTCGTATATCAGATCCCAAGGTTCAATAAGCAGTGAAAGGCGTCGTCGGCGGTGACGAGACCTGAGGAGGACTGTTTGGGCTTCCGTTGCCAGAGACTGCGTTTCGAACGGACCAGCTTTCGATTCCGGTTAGTATCGATTGCGGCGAACCAGGGCAAACCCATGTTTTCTGAGTCAATACAGAGGCCAAATCAGAACTCATTTGGACGAAATTAACAGATCCAAACAAACAAAATAGATGGAATTCTTCATACCTTGGTGTTCTGGGTTTGTTGCAGGGTGGAATGAGCCAACTGGCGAGTCAACCCGGAGAGAAAGCCACTGTCGTCGTAGAGCCGTCGTTCGCTCGGAAAGAGGATCCGGACGACGACGTCGACGTTTTGATCAACCGAGTCACATCAAACGACTCGCCGCCTCACTCCATCAACGATCTGAACTCGTCCTCAAGCCGAAACATAGACTGCTGGAGCAGATCGTCAGCGCGGTCGAGACAGGCGGCGACGGGCTTCTCAGCATCCACGAATGGCGGTGAGCAATTCGTCGACCGCGCGAGGAAGGAGGAGGCGTCGGCGGGGTCGGACCAGATGGGGAGGGTTTTAGAGAGAGAGAAGAGAGAGACTTGAGGGTCTGTTCCAGCTGCACAGGCTTTTGAAGAGAGAGACTCGAGGTGAATCAGCTTTTGATAGATTACCAGTGGGGAGGGTTTTAAAGAGCCCAACAGTGCTCTCACCTGTGTGTTTTACTTTTCTCCCAACGGTCCAGTTCTATAATTTGGGCAACTTCCAGACTAAAACCCAATTTTTTTTTTTTTTTTGAGAAAATCGAAAGCTTACAGTTGCAGTGCTTTGCTCATTAAAATTTGAACAGCCTCGAATTTGACACACACTTCAAATGATACCCTCACAAAATTAGAGAATTAAAATTTAAATAGCAAAAATTTAGTACCCCATTCGAGATGCCATAAGTGCAGACTGCAGAGTGCTGTACTGAAATCCTGAAATGTCTCATCAGTGCTTATCCATAATTATAATAGTAGTGTACGGTTCCTTATATACACACCTTTTTTTATATTTTTTTTGGGTAGCCTCAAGAGATCTCGAATTGACACACCTTTTTTTTTATTTTATTTTTCACAACCAACACACAGAAACAACAAAAACAATGTACTACACAATAAAAAAATAAAAAAATAAAATTCTCTCCGTACCACACAATACGTAGTAATTGAGTAGTCACTTTTCATATGAGAAGAGTCTCCACGCCTGCACGAAAAGACAATTTTAAAACTTTACTTAAACAGAAAAAGAAAATCCAAAAAAACACTAAAACTTAAAATTTTGGGTTAATTACCCTCACATTTCTTCAAATTTAATATATTGACAACAAGATAAAAGTTAGTCCTTTTTTAAATATTAACACCCCCTATAAGTTTTTTCCTTTAAAAAAACATGCGAAATGCCTATATAATCCTTTATTATTTAATTTATTAAAATATCAGCAATGCAAAATTACCAGAATGACCATTACAATTATTTTTTATTATTTAATTTATTTTACTACTTTCTCTCTCTAACCTATCACCTAATGGAGGTGCTGTCCTCTGGACACCAACTGATTGGTTGCATCCCACGGCGAGATTAAGGGGATCTAATCGCAGACGTCGAGTCCTGTGAGCCGACGTAGAAGAACGTGTCGAATTTGGAGATCTGAGCACCAGATTGATGGCTGAGTTGCCAGAGCAAACTGTGTTGAAGTGTAGAGTCGACGAGGATGTGGAATCGCAGACCATGAGGCTGTACAAGAATGACGACTCTTTGATTTGAGAAGAAATGAGAGGGAACCACCGCCGATTTTGAAAGCCGGGGATACAAATCCGAGTTGCTTACCACTGATTATAATATTGTGTGGCAGCGCAAAACCCTAGATGAAATCGTTGAATTGATGAGTTTTATTATTATTAAAAAAAAATTTATTTAGTTAGATTTGACTGGTTTATGGGGATTTGAAGCTTTCTCATCGGAGATTCTCTTTGTAAGCTCAGATCTCATCCTCTCTTTCTCCTCTTATATATATTTTTGATCAGTGTATATTGATTTATTTATGTGTATATATTGTATTGGGTTTAACTATACTATCTTTCTCCTCTTATATATATATATATATATATATGATCAGTGTGTGTTAATTATTTATGTATATATTGTATTGGGTTTCAGTTAAATTCTTCTCATTCTCTCTCTACTCAAACTTTTTGATGTTTAATTTGCTACTTGGACGGCCTAACAAGAGGTGCTGTAAGTTTATAGGGCAGTTTATTGGTGGTCGATCTTGGTTAATTTGATTGATTCATTCATTGATTGATTACCTTTGGAAGGTTTCAGTTTCAAGCGATTTTGATTTTGATTAAGGGTTGATCTTTAGTAAGTTGATAGTCTGAGTTGTTGTGTGTTTTTTTTGGATTTGAACCTTCAGAGATTCTCTAACATCAATTTCAATGGATGGTGGTGGAGATTGCCAGTGCTTTGTATATATATATATATATAATTATATATTGTTTTGTGGTGAAGGACTGTGATAGTGGTGGTGTCGTCTATGGTGGTAGAGGTGGAGATAGAGGAGAGAAGAGAGTGAAAGGGGAACAAGATAAGGGTTAATTTGGTCCAATAAAATGGCATATAAAAGTCAAAGGGCAATATTGTCAATTCACAATGTGATAAGTGACTATTATGGTGTTCTGTTAAATTTATCAAACTTGAGGGGTGTCATTGTTTGAAAACAGACAAACTTTCATCTGGCTATTAATAAGGCAAACCTCAGAGGGTGTGAGTGTAATTAACCCTAAATTTTTGTTGCTTTTCATGAACCAGGCTCTGCAAGGCCATTCATATGTAATCCGTAATATATAATTTAAATACATATTGAAGGATTCACCAAGGGTCAGTTAGGTGCAATGAAAAAGGAAAAAAAAAATGGAAGGAAAAGTGATGAAGAGGGATTAAAAATTTGTGATTGACAAAAATTATTGGAAGGAAAATGAAGGATTTGGAAGGTTAATACAAAGCTTCAACAGTAAATTTCTTAACATCTCAAAAATGGTAGGAAATAAAAAGGAAGGGAATGAGAGGCTTGGTGTGTGATTTCTGATGCCAAATTTATCCTCAATTATGTGTGAATTTAGTTTGCAAAACAAGAATTACAGACCTTGATTAGTTAATTTAGCAGTTGCAGAGAGAGAGGAAGGGCAAGCTTGAAAGTTGAGAGAAAGAGGGCAAGCAGCTAAAGCTTGCGAATGGCAAACCCGAATTGGAACAGCGGGCGATGGAAACTGAAAGATTGATATGGGTTTTGATTTTTTGAACAATCTAAAATTGGGTTTTGATATTTTGAACAATCTAAAATGATGTCGATTTAGGTTTTGAACTTTTGATTCTTGTAGACAAATATATAAACTGAAATATATGGGTTTTGAACTTCTGATTCTTGTAGTAGCTAGTTTGCAGTTGCACAGAGAAAGAGAGAAAGGGCAAGTTTAGAGTTGAGAACGAGAATAGAGATGGAGGCTGAAATGATTTGTCCTAAAAAAAAATTTCATTTTCTGGTGGCCGATCCATGTGCCTTTATATAGGAGACAAATATATATATATATATAAGGGCATAATAGTAAATTTATTAAAATAATTCTCCTTCCTATCCTTCCCTTTCTTTCTCTAAATATGATTATTATCCTTTCATTTATTTTCCATTCAATAATCAACCAAACACCATATGAGATTAAAATTATCAATCCCTTCCCTTCCCTTCCATTTCCCTCATAACTAATGTTATCCTCTTCCCTCAAACCCACTGTACCAAACATAGCTTGAGTACATCAGTACAAAAAACTGATAAAATCATATCAAATGCTTTTGTGAATACAAATTCTATTATTTTTTTAGTTGGAATTAGTTGAGTGGACATTTAACTCTTATGTTGCATCTGGTGTGCATAAATGAAATGAAGTACAAGTGAGAATAGAATGTCCATTCTCATTCTATTGTTTGATTATAAATATGAAATGTATGTGGGAATGGAATAATAAAAACCAATATAGCGTTTGATTTGACCAATTTAAAATTTAGAATTGAATAAATTTCAAATTGAGTTCTCCAAAATATCCCTCTTAATAACAAATAAATTAAATTAATAAAATGACATTCTTCTATAATTTTTTTAAAATAAATGGTGGCAGTAGCAGCGGTGGATGGTGGTGACGATGGTGGTGGAAGTGAAAAGCGGTAGTTGATGAGCACTGAAAAGTGCGCATTTAAACTCGTTAAGCTTAAGCATTCTAATACCTTTATCTATCTTACTTTGCCGTTTTAGACTTATTACGTGTTATTTATATTTTCAGGCACTAATCCCAAAATTGAGCTAACTCAGCCAAATAAGAGCTTAATTGAAGCAATCCTGAGATAAACCAAAGGAGGGAGCAAAGTGGAGAAAGAAAGGAGCAAAAAGGAATCAAAGTTGTGCAGCTGAAAAGTTCGATCGATCCAACTTAGAGTTCGATCGATCGAACATCTATGATCGATCACAGTACTTCTCGATAGATCCAACCTTGGCCTTTGCTGAAATTCCAAGTTCGATCGATCCAACATCACCTTCGATCGATCGAACCCTATTTTGTCCTATTCAAATGATTGATCTTATCCACAACTGTACACCTACCAACCACTTTTGTCCTTTTCCCCATAAATATCTTCGAAATATCTCAGCCTTGTCCTTATCCGGAGGAGTCAGACCACTTCGATCGATCCAAGATGCAGTTCGATCGATCGAACCCATCTTCGATCGATCCAAGTTAAGGTTCGATCGATCAAACTTCCTCCAGCGAGAAAAAGTTAAAGTCCAGCTCATTTATTCCGTCCTTCATCCAATCATTGGAGAATATGCCTTACACGACCACAGCTCATCATAAGGTGTATTTGACCTACCTATATAAGGAATATGATACACTTTTTGGAAAGTCTCTAGAGTCTCTTGTCACACATTGAAAATCATCTTGGAGGCTATTCTTGGAGAGGAAGAAGGGAGGAAGCTAGAGCAACCATTTGAGGAGATCTTCACCAACAAGGAGCAGCCATGGAGTTAGCCCTTGAGGGTTGGATCATCACTACCATGAGTGGCTAGACATCCTCTTGGGGCTAGAGTTAGCCCCAATCATGCTTTCTATACTCTAATCTTGTGTATTATTGAGGGATTAGTGTTGTATGATACATCTTGATATTCATGTATATATAAATCTTGATTATTTCATGGTTTGTATGGTTTAATGCTTCCAATTGACTATTCTATTCTATCCATATGTCTATGTATGCTAGAGTATGATATTCATGTGCTTATCTCTAGATTTAGTGTTTTTGATGCATATCTATGTGTATTGATGCTATAGATCTAGAGATTATCAAGATGATATGCTTAATGAATGCTATTTTGGTTCATTTGATGGTTTATGCCTATTCTTGATGGTTTGTGCCTCTCCCCTAGTCTAGATAGCTTTATTTTCATGCTAGTAGTGTAGATTTAGTGTAGTGGTAGTGTAATGTTAGATGGGAGGACAATCTACTCTTGATATTTGATGTTCCATGCCTGTGAGTCCAAATGGCATATTCCTCTAATATTGTGTTGTATGTGGATTGTGAGCTTAATGAAGGATTAATGACTAGTTATGTTATGTTGTATCTTTCACATGTGTTTAGACAATTTATTCCTCTCCCAATAGATATTTTGTACCTCTCACATGATGTTTAGATAATGCATGTTTAACTAAGTCATCCTTATGGATTGCTTGGACTATGAGCTTAATGAAAGGTTCAATGACTTCATTTGATATTTTGTTCTCTTCACATGATATCTAGACAATATATTCCTCTACCAATAGATGTATTGTGGCCTCACACATGTTGATTGAGACAATTTGCACTTGTTGAGTCACTCTTACCAATTGAATGTCTTTTACACACACAACATTGTTGCAACACATTCGTTTCCCTTATTAGTCACTTGATTATGTTTTGAAATAGTATTGTTTAGTGGTGATCTCTACACCCCAAGACCTTTCCTTCTTACTTACTCTTTATCTTATTGCATTTTAATTAATTCTTTTCTAGAAGTAATCAACCAACCCAATTCTCTTTTGCAATCATTTGGTACGCTAGAGTCGAAGTTGAAATTCCAACACGTATAATCCCTTGGGACGATCCCTACTCACTCTTGCTACGTTAGTAGTGGTGTTGGTAGTGATTTTTATAAATTTAAATTTGACATAAAGGGC